ATTATAATGCCTCATACTTATATCGGTTCTTAGTTGGAACTGCCTGTACTCAATCAAGGCTGTGTTACTGTGTGCTTAGAATAAGGCTGTGTTACTGTGTGCTCAGAAGGAGGCTGTGTAATTGTGTACTCGGAATGAGGCTGTGTCACTGTGTACGCAGAATGAGGCTGTGATACTGTGTACGCAGAATGAGGCTGTGTAACTGTGCTCAGAAGGAGACTGTGTACTCAGAATGAGGCTGTGTTACTGTGTGCTCAGAATGAGGCTGTGTAACTACGCTCAGAAGGAGACTGTGTACTCAGAATGAGGCTGTGTTACTGTGTACGCAGAATGAGGCTGTGTTACTGTGTACGCAGAATGAGGCTGTGATACTGTGTACGCAGAATGAGGCTGTGATACTGTGTACTCAGAATGAGGCTGTGTTACTGTGTACGCAGAATGAGGCTGTGATACTGTTTACGCAGAATGAGGCTGTGATACTGTGTACTCAGAATGAGGCTGTGTTACTGTGTGCTCAGAATGAGGCTGTGTTACTGTGTGCGCAGAATGAGGCTGTGATACTGTGTACGCAGAATGAGGCTGTGATACCGTGTACTCAGAATGAGGCTGTGTTACTGTGTGCTCAGAATGAGGCTGTGTTATTGTGTGCTCAGAATGAGGCTGTGATACTGTGTACTCCTCTATACTCCAGGGGTTACTATGCTCACTTATGTTTCTGCACCCCTGTAATATGTCATAGCAAAATTGAAAGTTAGTGTGCACCACCTTGTGGATGAGACAAAAAGACTAGTTTGATCCTTTGAAGTAGTCATCACAGGAATCTCACGGTTGCATAACTGTAAAATTGACGTTCTTTGAAGTCGAGTGTCGATCCTCTGTAGTATTCAAAAGACAGGTATCAGCCTAGTGATTGGTCAGTTTTTTTTACCCGAGACCAATCAAATAGCTAGTCGCATGCCTTCAATTTTGCTATGTCATATTCCAGGGGTGCAGAGAGCGAAAGTGAGCGTAACCCCTGGATATCGAGGATGATTACTTGCCTACTTGTCAAGGTGATATGTTACAGTTGCCATGGTTATATACACCACTACAGTAATAAGTGTTCTTCATTACGGTTTTATTATCACACAAAGCTCTAAACTACTACAAACTCTAACAAACTATTTGCTGATACGAAATTCATAAGAAAATCAATGATATTCAGTCATTAGTGTGTCAAAATAGAAACTGAATTTTATCCAGGTACAAAAGTGAAATATTCAACACTGAAAATTACAATTAACATAATTGCACAATAAACTGTTGCCTTATGATATTATATGGCACTCCTGTAGGTCAGGGGTTGAAAAGGAATGACACCAGCTGTGTTTACCCACTGCATGATTTAAAAAGCCACTTAAATGTGGGAACCCCTGTAGAACTGGGAGTTTGCTCTTGTGCCCTCTCCTTGGTGGCATCAAAGCGACTGTGATAAATGTGCTACACTCATTACAACATTTGGGATCTTCATGTCTTCTCTCTACTTCTTATAAAACTTCTTGTTTCTTTTGTTAGATCTCCCACTCCCCCATCTTCCTCTTGTGTATCCTTGTGGAATCTGTCTGCTGGGTCACACAGTACTTAGCTGAACTCTTTGCGCAGACATTGGGTCCCCCATTCCCCAGACTTCTGTATTTGTATGTATGAATTGTATTAATATTCTGTACCAATAAGTTGTAAACTTTTGGAAATAAAAAAACGAACATGAACATGAACAGAAGAAAATATAATCTGATACAAAAAATGCAATTTTAATGAAATATTTGAAAACTTTGAAAACAAGTCTGAAAAAATGAATGAACTCGTATCTCAAATTTCAATTTAAAATGGTTATAAATTTTACAGTTTTATGACTTTTTGGAATCGAGGATTAATTTAAACTTTATAATTTTAAAATCATTTGAATTAATCTCACTTTTCGAAAAGTATTAGTCCTATAGAGCAACTTAACATCCACCAGAAAAACATGTTAGTAAGGAAATGTAAATCCAAGCCTCAGATGTGAGACACTATAGGTATAATCAACACTATAGGTATAATCACCACTATAGGTATAATCAACACTATAGGTATAATCAAACCACTATAGGTATAATCAACACTATAGGTATTATCAACACTATAGGTATAATCACACTATATAATCAACACTATAGGTATAATCAACACTTTAGAGATAATCAACACTATAGGTATAATCAACACTTTAGAGATAATCAACACTATAGGTATAATCAACACTTAAGGTATTAGGTATAATCAACACTATAGGTATAATCAACACTATAGGTATAATAACACTATAGGTATAATCAACACTATATAATCAACACTATAGGTATAATCAACACTTAAGGTATTAGGTATAATCAACACTATAGGTATAATCAAACCACTATAGGTATAATCAACACTATAGGTATAATCATCTCTATAGGTATAATCAACACTATATAATCACCACTATAGGAATAATCACCACTATAGGCATAATCAACACTAGGTATAATCAACACTATAGGAATAATCAACACTATATGTATAATCAACACTTTAGATATAATCAACACTATATGTATAATCAACACTATAGGGATAATCAACACTTTAGGTATAATCAACACTATAGGTATAATCAAAACTATATGTATAATCAACACTATAGGTATAATCAACACTATAGGTATGATCAACACTATAGGTATAATCAACACTTTAGAGATAATCAACACTATAGGTATAATCAACACTTTAGAGATAATCAACACTATAGGTATAATCAACACTTAAGGTATTAGGTATAATCAACACTATAGGTATAATCAAACCACTATAGGTATAATCAACACTATAGGTATAATCAACTCTTTAGATATAATCAACACTATAGGTATAATCAACACTTTAGATATAATCAACACTATAGGTATAATCAACACTTAAGGTATAATCAACTATAATCACCACTATAGGTATAATCACCACTAAAGGTATAATCAACACTAGGTATAATCAACACTATAGGTATAATCAAACCACTATAGGTATAATCAACACTATAGGTATTATCAACACTATAGGTATAATCAACACTATATACTCACCACTATAGGTATAATCAACACTATAGGTATAATAACACTATAGGTATAATCAACACTATATAATCAACACTATAGGTATAATCAACACTATAGGTATGATCAACACTATAGGTATAATCAACACTTTAGAGATAATCAACACTATAGGTATAATCAACACTTTAGATACAATCAACACTATAGGTATAATCAACACTATATACTCACCACTATAGGTATAATCAACACTATAGGTATAATCAACACTTTAGATATAATCAACACTATAGGTATAATCAACACTATAGGTATAATCAACACTATATAATCAACACTATAGGTATAATCAACACTATATAATAAACACTATAGGTATAATAAACACTATAGGTATAATCACCACTTTAGGTATAATCAACACTTTAGGTATAATAAACACTATAGGTATAATCACCACTATAGGTATAATCAACACTATAGGTATAATCAACACTTAAGGTATAATCAACACTATAGGTATAATCAACACTATAAGTATAATCAACACTTAAGGTATAATAAACACTATAGGTATAATCAACACTATAGGTATAATCAACACTATATAATAAACACTATAGGTATAATAAACACTATAGGTATAATCACCACTTTAGGTATAATCAACTCTTTAGGTATAATAAACACTATAGGTATAATCACCACTATAGGTATAATCAACACTATATAATAAACACTATAGGTATAATCAACACTATATAATCTCCACTATAGGTATAATCAACACTATATAATCTCCACTATAGGTATAATCAACACTATATAATCACCACTATAGGTATAATCAACCCTATAGGTATAATCACCACTATAGGAATAATCAACACTATATAATCACCACTATAGGTATAATCATCACTATAGGTATAATCAACACTTAAGGTATAATAAACACTATAGGTATAATCAACACTATAAGTATAATCAACACTTAAAGTATAATAAACACTATAGGTATAATCAACACTATAGGTATAATCAACACTTTAGGTATAATCAACACTATAGGTATAATAGACACTATAGGTATAATCAACACTATATGTATAATCAACACTATAGGTATAATCAACACTTAAGGTATAATCAACACTTTAGGTATAATCAACACTATAGGTATAATAAACACTATAGGTATAATCAACACTATATGTATAATCAACACTATAGGTATAATCAACACTATAGGTATAATCAACACTTTAGGTATAATAAACACTATAGGTATAATCACTAAACACTATAGGTACAATCACCACTATAGGTATAATCAACACTATAGGTATCATCAACACTTTAGGTATAATCACCACTATAGGTATAATCACCACTTTAGGTATAATCACCACTATAGGTATAATAAACACTATAGGTATAATCAACACTTTAGGTATAATCAACACTATAGGTATAATCAACACTATAGGTATAATCACCACTATAGGTATAATCAACACTATAGGTATCATCAACACTATAGGTTGAAGCTCTTTTATGAATAGTTCTTGTGATATTATATCAAAACTGGTGTATTATCTATGCATACTGAATCACACAGGTGCTTTCATTGAAACCATGACTTCTGTGATAAACTTTTCTGGAACTTACCATTGTTGAATGATGTGTTGTGGATGGTTTAAATTGTATTGAATGTGTTTCTGTGTACAAATTCAAATTGAACTTCTTGTGTTTAAATTGTTTTGACCGTGAAAAATGAGAAAAACTGCCATGGTACTAAATCAACGTTGTATTTCAGCAGCCTGTTCACTGTACATTTGATTCCCAGTTTAACATACAAATCCTTTTGATGTGTTTCAGGTGTAGGTGTTTGTCGTCATCATCCTGTGGAGTTTACATGAAGACCGGGGAGCTGGTGATTATACCTATTACATATTAGCTGTACAGTTTGTTCCACGGACAATCTCAAGTTACTAGTGTTTGTTAATTTGCTTCTTTAACATTCAATTTGATTACATTATAAGAGGATTGTTCTGAGGGTGACACTTGGCACTGTCACCTCCCATTGACTGATACTACCATGTAAGATTATATGTTCCAAACAGTCAGTCTGTCAGTTCAGACTTTATAACCTGATTGTGTAGGTAAGCACCCTTTGGAATGATGGTGTGTAATGCCTACTGAAACCAGGTCTCATGACATCATATTTACAGATTTAGGATCTAGTGTTCATAGCGCATCACTTTGTCGAGATAATATTTCATATACTCTTGTCATCTGCCAACTTTTGTACGTAGGTACCTTCTGTAGTTGTGCTTAATGAAATGGTTTTTGCCGTGGCACATTGTCCGTCGTCCGTCGTCCATTGTCTGTTAACGTTTTCTTTAAATCACTACTAGTGCTTAATTGACAGCTCAGCTTTTTTAGGTCACCTGAGACAAAGTCTCAAGTGACCTATATTGTGATCGCCTTTTGTCCGGCGGCGTCCGACGTCTGTCCGTAAATAATTTACATTTTCGACTTCTTCTCCAAAACCCCTAAACCAATTTCAAATGTCAACAAAAAGAGTGGCTGGTTTGGTCCACAGCCCCCAGGGGCCTGAGGGGCGTGGCCAAAAAAGGGTCAAATTGACTAAAATTTCAAAAATCTTCTTCTCAAGACCAAGATATGGTAGAATCAAATACTCTTCATAGATGGAAGAGTCTTAAGGTGCTTCAACAAAATTGTGAATTTCTTGACCCTGGGGTCTCTTGTTTTCCCCTGAGGAGGGGGTAAACTTTACTATAGTTTATATAGGGAAATCACATTTTGGACCAACATTTGTTTAATTTCCATTGAAAGTAATTCAATTTAGGTTAGCATTATCAGTATTAGGTAGCAGTTTGATAGTATGCACATATGAGCGCTGACTGACCTCCAGGGGCTGTTGGTTGGGGCCAAAATTTGGGTTGAATTGACTGAAATTTCGAAAAAATCTTCTTCTCAAGACCCAGATATGGTAGAATCAAATACTCTTCATAGATTGAAGGGTCTTAAGGGCTTTACCAAAATTGAGAATTTCATGACCCTGGGGTCTCACGTTTCCCCCTGCGGGGAGGGGGTAAACTTTACTATAGTTTATATAGGGAAATCACATTTTGGACTAACATTTGTGTAATTGCCATTGGAAGTAATTCAATTTGGGTTAGCATTATCAGTATTGGATAGCAGTTTGATGATATGCATGTATGAGCCCTGACTGACCCCCCGGGGCTGATGGGTGGGGCCAAAAAGGGGTGAATTGACTGAAATTTCAAAAATCTTCTTTTCAAGACCCCGATATGGTAGAATCAAACACTCTGCCTAGATGGAAGGGTCTTAAGGTGCTCTACCAAACATGTGAATTTTATGACCCTAGGGTCTCATATTTACCCCTGGGTAGGGGGTAAACTTTACTATAGTTTATATAGAGAAATCACATTTTGGACCAACAATTGTTTAATTTCCATTAGAAGTAATTCAATTTAGGTTAGCATTATCAGTATTGGATAGCAGTTTGATGGTATGCACATATGAGCCCTGACTGAGCCCGCAGGGCTGATGGGTTGTGCCAAAAAGGGTTGAATTGGCTGAAATTTCAAAAATCTTCTTCCCAAGACCAAGATAAGGTAGAATCATATACTCTTCATAGATGGATGGGTCTTAAGGTGCTTTACCAAAATTGACAATTTCGTTATCCTGGGGTCTCACATTTACCCCCGGGGAGGCATTAAACTTTACTACAGTTTATATAGGGAAATCTCATTTTGTACCAATATTTGTTTAATTTCCTTTGGAAGTAATTCAATTTGGGTTAGCATTATCAGTACCCCCTGGGGAAGGAGAGGGGGGGGGGGGGGGGGGTAAAAATATATTATGGTTTATAATGACAAATGATACTTTGAATATGACATGTTAATAACCCTGAGTTAACAGTTTAATACGTTGAAAATTTTGAGCCAGCTCGACCTCCAAGGGCTGTATAGCGGGGCCCAAAGGTGTCAGTGTGCTAAAATTAATTTTTTCATTTTCCTTGTTAAGAAGCAGAGGTGCTAGGTTCAAATACTTTTCAGTCTCAAATCTGTATGCTAGATATTGAATAAGGTGGTTTTTTTGTTTTTGTCACTTTGAATAATATTTCTGTTCATGTTAAAAACAAAAATATATCAGGTGACCGTTAAGCCTTCTGGAGCAGCCTTAGGGAAAGAAGACTCAATTTTGTATAACAGTGATCATGTGTTGATGCAAGAGTTTGAAAAGTGGCAAGAGACTTGTATTGATATCACAGTTTGACCAGTGGTCAGAAACTATGTATTGATATCAAAGTTTGACCAATGGTCAGAGACTGTGTATTGATACCAAAGTTTGACCAGTGGTGCGAGACTATGTATTGATATCAAAGTTTGACCAATGGTCAGATACTTTGTATTGATACCAAAGTTTGACCAGTGGCTAGAGACTTTGTATTGATACCAGAGTTTGACCAGTGGTCAGAGACTATGTATTGATACCTAAGTTTGACCAGTGGTGCGAGACTATGTATTGATATCAAAGTTTGACCAATGGTCAGAGACTTTGTATTGATACCAAAGTTTGGCCAGTAGCTAGAGACTTTGTATTGATACCAGAGTTTGACCAGTGGTCAGAGACTGTATTGATCCCAAAGTTTGACCAGTGGTCAGAAACTATGTATTGATATCAAAGTTTGACCAATGGTCAGATACTTTGTATTGATACCAAAGTTTGACCAGTAGCTAGAGACTTTGTATTGATACCAGAGTTTGACCAGTGGTCAGAGACTGTATTGATACCAAAGGTTGACCAGTGGTCAGAAACTATGTATTGATACCAGAGTTTGACCAATGGTCAGAGACTATGTATTGATACCAGAGTTTGACCAGTGACCAGAGACTATGTAACAATTGATACCAAAGTTTGACCACAGGTCAGAGACTGTAACAATTGATACCAAAGTTTGACCACTGGTCAGAGACTGTAACAATTGATACCAAAGTTTGACCATGGTCAGAGACTGTAACAATTGATACCAAAGTTTGACCATGGTCAGAGAATGCAACAATTGATACCAAAGTTTGACCAGTGGTCAGAAACTATGTATTGATACCAATGTTTGACCAGTGGTCAGAGACTATGTATTGATACCTAAGTTTGACCAGTGGTGCGAGACTATGTATTGATATCAAAGATTGACCAATGGTCAGAGACTTTGTATTGATACCAAAGTTTGACCAGTAGCTAGAGACTTTGTATTGATACCAGAGTTTGACCAGTGGTCAGAGACTGTTTTGATACCAAAGTTTGACCAGTGGTCAGAAACTATGTATTGATACCAATGTTTGACCAGTGGTCAGAGATTATGTATTGATACCAAAGTTTGACCAGTGGTGCAAAACTATGTATTGATACCAGAGTTTGCCCAGTGGCCAGAGACTATGTATTGATACCAGTTTGACCGATGGTCAGAGACTTTGTATTGCTACCAGAGTTTGACCAGTGGTCAGAAACTATGTATTGATACCAGAGTTTGACCAATGGTCAGAGACTATGTATTGATACCAGAGTTTGACCAGTGACCAGAGACTATGTAACAATTGATACCAAAGTTTGACCACAGGTCAGAGACTGTAACAATTGATAATAAAGTTTGACCACAGGTCAGAGACTGTAACAATTGATACCAGAGTTTGACCATGGTCAGAGACTGTAATAATTGATACCAAAGTTTGACCACTGGTCAGAGACTGTAACAATTGATACCAAAGTTTGACCACTGGTCAGAGACTATGTATTGATACCAAAGTTTGACCAATGGTCAGAGACTATGTATTGATACCAAAGTTTGACCAGTGGTCAGAAACTATGTATTGATACCAGAGTTTGACCAATGGTCAGAGACTATGTATTGATACCAGAGTTTGACCAGTGGCCAGAGACTATGTAACAATTGATACCAAAGTTTGACCATGGTCAGAGACTGTAACAATTGATACCAAAGTTTGACCACTGGTCTGAGACTGTAACAATTGATACCAAAGTTTGACCAGTGGTCAGAGACTGTAACAATTGATACCAAAGTTAGACCATGGTCAGAGACTGCAACAATTGATACCAAAGTTTGACCACTGGTCTGAGACTGTAACAATTGATACCAAAGTTTGACCAGTGGTCAGAGACTGTAACAATTGATACCAAAGTTTGACCATGGTCAGAGACTGCAAAAATTGATACCAAAGTTTGACCAGTGGTCAGAGACTGTAACAATTGATACCAAAGTTTGACCGGTTTGCTCACTTTGACTTGGTCACTTTGGAAAAATGAAAAAACATATCACATGAAAGTAAATGCCATGAGAGGTGTATAAGATTCATGAGAGGTGTATAAGATAAATAGCTTTTACACAGCACGGTTGTTCCTTGACAATGTGCTAATTGATGTTTGTGTGAAATCTGTTGCTTAGTCATGTGATGATACTTTTAATGTGTGTTATTTCCTATTATTACCTGCAGGAGATCCATGGCTTCCCCAGATAAGTCACTGGCAGTGTGGTCAACATGAGAAGCTTGAATGACCATGACGAGATGGCCGTTGGAAATCCGGTGCCTCCCTCTACTGTAGCCACACTGGACAAAGTTGCCATGATGCTTAGTAGTGGTACCGGCCCCAATAATGGGGATGAGCCTCGGCGGCCTCTTATCAAACAGGAGGCTGTGGATGTGGAGGACAACTCCTCACGCTCTGGGCAATACCTAGGGATCAACCCTATCAGCGGGGAGCTACCCAAACAGCACAGTGACCCCGGCCTCCGCACAGCTAGGGAAGGCAGTTTTGAGGCAGAGACCTCCCATTGGAGTTATTTCCAACGGAAAGAGTATGAAACATTTCGTGAACAAAAGTCAGTAATAGAACGTTATAATGTTGAGACTTATTCCTCACAGTGGCAAGCCAATGTAGACCACAAAACCGTACTAAGGATGCCCCACAATGTCAGTGCTCCCAGTTTATTGCTTCAGACCCAGGAGGAACGGAGATATGAGTATCGTAAAAAGATGTTTGAGAAAGAAACAACAAATGTTAGTCATCCTGTTTTCTCCCAGATACGACCACAGCACAGTGAAGAAAGCTTCCGCGGTCATTATTCAGACATCAGTGGGTCTGAGGACAGTCCAAGTAGTCGAGAGGCTTCCCCATATACCAAGGACTTTGCTAGCCACTGTGTACAGGGCGACACTGGCTCATATGATGAAATCCCGCGAGAGGAAAAAAGAATCATTCACCAACCAACAAGTATTGTCATAACAAGTGATGACGATTGTGTGACAACAGTCAAAAGTGATGCAGACTTGTCTCCCTTAACAGAGGAAGGCAGAGCCCGCAGTAAACACTTATATCCTGGTAACTTCAAAAAGTTTTTACACGCAAGGTACTTAAAGAGCCAGATACACAGTGGATCGTCCTCATCAACAGACACATCCCTGGACCACTCCCAGGATAGGTCAGACACCTCTCTCGGGACGGCCTCACCAGATCTCCAGTCTTTTGAGACCAGCCTTGAGGTACCTGAAACAGCAGTGTCTCCTTCACTGTCTTTTGAGGCCAAATCACCAGAAGTGACTTCGGAAACTAGTGACGACGGAGACGTGTTCATGGGGCCTTCAGGGAAGCAGCCTTCAACCCAGAAACGCACAAAACCCCAATCACTACCTCAGGGTGGTAGTGGTGAACCTCTTGATCTCACAAACACTCCGTCTTTCCGAGGACCGATTCCCACGCCTCGAATATTTCCCCCTGACTCAGGTTTGTCTACCAGTGATCCTGATCTCATGAGCCCGTCAGCAGCCAAGCAGCAATTCTCTCCATATGTGCACCGCTCGTCAGGGGTGCTCACACCTCACTACATATCGTCTGCTCAATCCTCTCCCTTGTGTTCTGTCCCAGAGGGAGGCCATGTGTTTAACTTCAACCTGCCCAGTCCTTTTGAAGGATTCTATTCGGACCCTGAACTTCTGTCACCTAGTCCCATGTCACCTGGACTTCACTTTGCATTCCCACCTCGTGCTACTATGGTTACGTCTATGTCAGAACTCACTCGCCTTGCAGTGTCGCCACGTGCCTATTATCCTAATCAGCCATTGAAAGTACCAAGCCAAAAACTATCAACTAGTCCTGTCGGCAAAATGGAAGTAAATGAATCTCAGAGCCTTGAAGGAAGACGGACTGTGTCTGATTCTGATGCCTATTTGTGTCCAGTATGTACGCAAGTATTTCCATCCTATGATAATTTAGCTAAGCACATGGCAAAGCATCTGCCAACAGAGACGGTACGCCAGGCTGATAATAATAAAGTGCATTACTGTAAGGTGTGTAACCGCTGTTTTTCACGCAGTGACATGCTCACACGACACATGAGGCTGCACACGGGACTGAAGCCCTACGAATGTACTGACTGCGGCCAGGTGTTCAGTCGTAGTGACCACCTGAACACACATAAACGTACACATACAGGAGAGAAACCCTACAGGTGTCCGCAGTGTCCATATGCTGCATGTCGTCGGGACATGATCACCAGACATATGCGCACACATGCTAAGAGATCTGCAAAGCGAGGAAAGTATCTTTCAGTACCAGAACGGGAAGGTGATGTACGTAAAAGTTCAGTTTCTAGTACAGATACGACTGATTCCCAGGAGCAATCGATGAGGACATATTCTGCCTCTAGTGCGGACAGTTTAGATTTGGATAGTACTGGTTCAAAGCTATCTGTGAGTCGCGGAGACAGTGGTGAACGTTTCTCGGTAAGTAGAGGAGACAGTGGAGAATGGTCTCCATATCCAATAAGTAGGGGTGACAGTGGTGAGCGATTTTCCATTAGTCGAGGTGATAGTGGTGACCGGCAGCTTCCTGTTAGTCGTGGAGACAGTAGTGAGCGAGTGTTCCCAGGGTACAGTGAACGGTCATTTTCGGTTAGTCCGAGCGAGGGAGGGGAAAAATCATTCCCAGTAAGTCGTGGTGATAGTGGAGATCTACAGTTCCCCATCAGTCGCGGGGACAGTGGCGACATGGATTCCAAGGGTCGTCCGTGGACAAATACCAGTACAGATAGTACAGTGTTTGAGGATATAAGTCAGGGGCTGGAGAAAAGTCACAAGCTCAAACTGCTCCATCTCCATCGCGAAGCTGCTACTATCGACCCTAACTACGGCTATCGCAAGATGCGCAACTGGTCGACTGCGAGTTTTGAGAGTATAGATTCAGAGGATGGTAAATCACGGCCAGAGTCATTCGCAGAGGACACCCTGTTTGAGTATGAACATACGGGTGAGATGGGGAGGTATGGTGACAGTCCTTCTGCTGCTATGGAGAGGCTACAGAAGTGTAGGATCAGTACCGATGCTAGTATAGACCAGCATCAGTTACCGACCTCAGATAGGGAAGGAAACGGGGGCAGCAAAGATCAAGGGATGTAACTCTTAGAATTTTTAAGATCTTTTTAATGCCTTTTTTATTTGTACCCAGATATTGTCAACAGTAATTTTTGTTATTGTTGGTGATAAGACATTTGTTGTTATTTATAGTTATGGACATTGACTGTTGTATAATCAGTGTTTTATATCACAAATATTTTAAAACATGCACAATGAAAATTGATCTTAACTAATATATATGTGGATTGGACATTCCCAATGTATACATGTCCTCTGTGCCTAAATAGTCACAAGTGAATGTGAGGTAAAATGTCAACTTGTCCATGTAACACTTCCCTACAGCGTACAGAAAGACAAACTTCAGAATCCGAGTCTCGGAAGAAATGAAGTATCCCTGTAGTTACCCTGCAGAATGTGTTAGCTTAGCTTATCAGATTGTAATAATTTGTGTTTAAATCCAACCTATACAACCTAGATCTTACAGAAAAAAATCCTAAGTCTAGGAATAGATTTGAATTTTCTGATTAGTCATCTTGACCTTTGACCTTACCTTTGTGCCAATTTTAAGCCAGAACAGTTCAAGTTGGGATATATGCTCCATATAACCTAGGATTAAAGTTTGTTATTTGGAAACCGTTTCTTGAGTATAACTCGCTAATATCTAAGATTTCCCATCATCCCAACATGGCAAGCTTTGACTATTTGAAGATGAAGAATGTGGGACCTAGCTTCCCTGTGTTCTGTTGTTAACTAGTCCACAGAGATTGGTCTGGACTTGATGTAATCCACACTACTGTACTATAAGCTTGATTCCCGTCAAATACCTACTGGCTGTATCTAAATCAGATCTTTTATAGTTACAAGGGAGATTATTTTCATNGGGGGGGTGAATCTGATGGCCAAACTGTAACAAAACATTGATGACCTGAAACCCCAATCAGTATGATTTGTTAAACTTGTAAACTACAGAAGCCATCTTGTTGACATAAATACTTGCTGTTCTTTTTCTCAAATAAAAAGAAATAAACTTTTCCTGAAGTCAAATATGATATACAAATATTACATATATATTTATTGTTTCTTTCAAAATGTTCTGAAGTGTGTTATTGGCCCAAATCCTATATTATCAATTGTATTCTTTATTTATTTTATTACAATTTAAAGATATTTGTTAGCTAGGCAAAAGTGTTTATCTTTCTACAGTAGCAGCCTTACACAGTTTTAGTTTCAGTATTAATATTTTTTAAATATGTATTTTTAAAGAAAAAAGTTTTCAAAAGCAATAATTTGTGAAAAGTTTCTGAATTTTGCCTATTTTGTGTACTGTGCCTCATGACCACAGTACTATCACTAGTTTAATGTAATTTTGCTAATCAACATGGATTTTTATTAATAGCCACTTTTTGGAGATTTTATTTCATATTCCAAATAAATTATTCTGGTGTTAATAGCCAATGAACATTTTGTCATTGATGTGTAGATTTTTTAAATACTTACATGTGTTATCCTTCTGTTTTGATAGATTTTGATAAAAGAAAGATTGTGTCAGGGTGGTTGACGTTTCATTTTTTATCCATCAACAGTTACCTGAAGTAAACCACACTTTTACTTGTGATGAAAACAAAATTGGTGAACTGGAATAACAGCAAGATTTTTTGTTTATTATTTTCCTAAAAATAGTCACACATTTGTATGCTATATGCATGGAAAGATTCTGTTAAAGAAATAAATTGTGATGTTTTTACTCCCCAAAAGTAGATATAGAAAAGTTGCAGAGAACTTTGATATCAAGGTAGGAACATTGTTATAAGAAGCCATGGATCCGAAAAAACAGTTACAGAATTATAGTTTGAACTATTACAGTAAGTATAGTTGAGAGATTTTACAATTCTCCAGTAGACTAACACCACTTAAAAAGTCATTTATTGTACAGCGAGTTAAAACAAAAGATGGATTTCTGTAAGTGAATTCACTGATGTTTTTTTCCGTAGGTGAATTTTTATTTTACTGAAGAAGGGATGTGAGTTCATTTAAAAGAAAGGAAAGTATTAATTGTTTTGGTTGTCTAATCAGTCACATTCATTGTTTTATAAAGTTGTGATTTATGAAGCTGTCAGTACGATTCAATCAAAAGTAATTAAATGCATTTTTTTATCATAATTATCCTTTGATAAAATGGCTTTACATTTTCCCAAGGAGAACTTAATATTGTTCGTTATGGCAGACATGTTGGTAAAGTCTTCATAGGAACTATATGAAAGCCTAATAGTACAACTGTATCTGTTCCTTATGCTGGGGGATGATAAGGTCTCGGCCTCTGGTCGTACAACGTGGACACCGGACCTGATATCCACTTGGTTTTGGTACATGAATATGCCATTCATACTTGTTATAGAACTGTATTCTTCTATCTCCCTACCTACTTTATGTTGTACATGAAGACAAAAAGATGAAGCAATATTTTAAATTACCATGAAAGATTGATAGTAAAGTTGGTGCGTTCTTTTTAATTTTTGAATAGCATGCAAAAACAATAGAACATTCTACATAATGTAGCTGTGGCTTTCTCCCCATCTCCCTTGTAAAGGGAGGTAACTTCAATTGTTTATTTAGCATAGTTACATTTTTCTGATTTTCAGAAAAGAAAAAGAAACCTATCAAGTTCGCAAATATATATGAATTGAAAATTTGCAACGATATAATGTGATAGTTATAAGAATCTACGATCTTATTGACCATGTGAACAAAATACTTCATCTGATGAATGTCCACTCACAGCAAAATCACAACCAGGAAATGCTAAATGCCAGTTGCTTTAAGTTTAGAAATTTGCCTTTGTAAATGTATTTGCATAAGCACTCAAGGGTACATATCTATTTGGACAAATTAACACACCTTCTCTTCTTTCATTGAACAACTGTGTTTCAGAAAACACCTGTTGGAATAGTTTACACTAGAAAAATTAACAGAGATAGCATGTAATGTACTGCTAAAATATCACTAAATATGTTTATTATATGTTAGTTACAGAAAGAGACATATTGGTGAATTACTTAACACAGTATAGTGGTTTGTTTACAGAGTCTTTATAGACAGTATAGAACTTGTTAGTCAGGACAAAACCAGAGAATCAACACGTTTTTAAATGTTTGAGAATTTTTTCAAGAACACTGACAATCATAATGCATGAATCTGAACATTTCACTTAAGAAATTTTAAAAGAAACAAATGTTCAGCTAACAAGGTTCCATGGTGTATGATATTTAATGTTAGTGGAAGCTACGATTATATAATTATAACCATACTGTTACCCTATGGTGTATGATCTTTAATGTTAGTGGAAGCTTCGATTATATAGTTATAACCATACTGTTACCCTATGGTGTATGATCTTTAATGTTAGTGGAAGCTACGATTATATAATTATAGCCATACTGTTACCCTATGGTGTATTATCTTTAATGTTAGTGGAAGCTTCGATTATATAGTTATAACCATACTTTTACCCTATGGTGTATGATCTTTAATTTTAGTGGAAGCTTCGATTATATAGTTATAACCATACTGTTACCTTATGGTGTATGATCTTTAATGGTAGTGGAAGCTACGATTATATAATTATAACCGGGGGGGTACCCTATGGGGTATGATCGTTAATGTTAGTGGAAGCTACGATGATATAGTTATAACCATACTGTTACCCTATGGAACCTTGGTGCAGAATTTATATTATTGAAACCTTCATCAATATTTGGTGGAACAAGAAGTGCTTTAGAACGTTTGTACTCAGATGGGTTCTCTTTGAGAGGACGTTTACGTATCAACAGAGGCAATAGTTTCTTATGAAATTATAAAAAACTAGTGGTGTACATGGGAGTATTATCTGCCCTATTCCACCTATCTAAATGGGATAACCCTTATAGAACCTTGGTATGACCCGGTGAATCTTCATGCAAAGTTAAATCGGATGCATTTCATTGAGTTTATTTTTATACATAGAAATGTATCCAAGATTGTTTTTACTTAATATTTCCATCTCAATATGGGCTACAGAGGAAGTCAAGGTGAAGGTTCTGTACACTTTATAGGATTAATGGAAAAGCAATTAAATGAATGCATCACGGCTGTTTCCTGTAACAAACAGTGAGAGATGTGCTGGACCATTCAGTATTTGTTTTGATGAGTTGATAAAATGTTTGGCCTTGTATACAATATGACAATATGGACATTCAAAATGTATAAACATTGTAAATATTGTACATAACACGACACCTGGAGCGTAGAATCAAACAACGATGCATGAATTTCTTTCGGTTTAATTTATTTATAACCTCTTTTAATTCTGTCTTTGATGCTGTTGAATGTGAGATTTTTATAGTATTTTATTCATCCACACTTTTAACTTTGAAACAATGTTTAGATGAAGTAAGTTTGTGCCTGGAGAATTAAAAAGAAATTGATCTTTTTTCATATAAATAGTAAGATAATAGAAAAACGTTTTTCTGCAGTCGGATCATCAATATCAAATTAAAAATTCTGTGTGAACCATTGCTTGTAGAACTAGATTGTCAGACGTTAAGTGGAGTTGGTTGTGTATGATATATATTTACATCTAAAACTTGACAGTTAGCAAAATGCTGTTTTTATTTTGATCTTATTCAATATGTGCTCTGATGTATTCAGCCAGTATTGATAAACACATTTTATTCAGAAAGAGAGTTCCTCAAAATGAGCATCTCATTACAGGGGATATGTTCAGCGGTGAGCATGGTCTGATAGTGATCAAGGCACACATTTTATATTTTTACTACTCCAGGACTCGGATCAACCTAGAAAACTGGGTTTGCCAAGACTTAATTTAGTCATTTTGACTGATTAATGCAACTAATTTTCAGTTTTTCTCTGATAATTGTACTTGCTGGCTCTGTCTGTTTGTTTGGTGACAAAGTTTCAAAATATACAGCTGTTCTTCACCTGGTCCGGGGTTCACTGCATTCAATAGAATAAGTAAAACATTTAAATTAACTGGACCAATACTTTCACAAGTAATAGTGAAAACATTTGGAGAAAATTGAATAAAGCAAAACAAATCTTAGTGATGTTTAGAGAAATGGAAGAAAGTTTCACATTTTTATGAGTAAATCACATGAGCAGTATAATGCAGAATATAATTTAACTGATTCAATTTGTTAGCTTCCATAGATAGGTTTTTAAACAGCAGTGGCGTACTATGGTATTTATACAGCGGTCTCTGGCGTACTATGGTATTTATACAGCGGTCTCGAAAACTCCAAACTTGGTATGTGGCAACCGGAGATTGGAGGGCAGGGAACAATAANTGTGTTTTAGTGGAGGGTCCACACACCTGTAATAAGGTAAGACCTTGTAGAGGGTTGATATCAGAGTTAGGTCGCTGTAACCTTTTGTGTTTTAGTGGAGGGTCCACACACCTGTAATAAGGTAAGACCTTGTAGAGGGTTGATATCAGAGTTAGGTCGCTGTAACCTTTTGTGTTTTAGTGGAGGGTCCACACACCTGTAATAAGGTAAGACCTTGTAGAGGGTTGATATCAGAGTTAGGTCGCTGTAACCTTTTGTGTTTTAGTGGAGGGTCCACACACCTGTAATAAGGTAAGACCTTGTAGAGGGTTGATATCAGAGTTAGGTCGCTGTAACCTTTTGTGTTTTAGTGGAGGGTCCACACACCTGTAATAAGGTAAGACCTTGTAGAGGGTTGATATCAGAGTTAGGTCGCTGTAACCTTTTGTGTTTTAGTGGAGGGTCCACACACCTGTAATAAGGTAAGACCTTGTAGAGGGTTGATATCAGAGTTAGGTCGCTGTAACCTTTTGTGTTTTAGTGGAGGGTCCACACACCTGTAATAAGGTAAGACCTTGTAGAGGGTTGATATCAGAGTTAGGTCGCTGTAACCTTTTGTGTTTTAGTGGAGGGTCCACACACCTGTAATAAGGTAAGACCTTGTAGAGGGTTGATATCAGAGTTAGGTCGCTGTAACCTTTTGTGTTTTAGTGGAGGGTCCACACACCTGTAATAAGGTAAGACCTTGTAGAGGGTTGATATCAGAGTTAGGTCGCTGTAACCTTTTGTGTTTTAGTGGAGGGTCCACACACCTGTAATAAGGTAAGACCTTGTAGAGGGTTGATATCAGAGTTAGGTCGCTGTAACCTTTTGTGTTTTAGTGGAGGGTCCACACACCTGTAATAAGGTAAGACCTTGTAGAGGGTTGATATCAGAGTTAGGTCGCTGTAACCTTTTGTGTTTTAGTGGAGGGTCCACACACCTGTAATAAGGTAAGACCTTGTAGAGGGTTGATATCAGAGTTAGGTCGCTGTAACCTTTTGTGTTTTAGTGGAGGGTCCACACACCTGTAATAAGGTAAGACCTTGTAGAGGGTTGATATCAGAGTTAGGTCGCTGTAACCTTTTGTGTTTTAGTGGAGGGTCCACACACCTGTAATAAGGTAAGACCTTGTAGAGGGTTGATATCAGAGTTAGGTCGCTGTAACCTTTTGTGTTTTAGTGGAGGGTCCACACACCTGTAATAAGGTAAGACCTTGTAGAGGGTTGATATCAGAGTTAGGTCGCTGTAACCTTTTGTGTTTTAGTGGAGGGTCCACACACCTGTAATAAGGTAAGACCTTGTAGAGGGTTGATATCAGAGTTAGGTCGCTGTAACCTTTTGTGTTTTAGTGGAGGGTCCACACACCTGTAATAAGGTAAGACCTTGTAGAGGGTTGATATCAGAGTTAGGTCGCTGTAACCTTTTGTGTTTTAGTGGAGGGTCCACACACCTGTAATAAGGTAAGACCTTGTAGAGGGTTGATATCAGAGTTAGGTCGCTGTAACCTTTTGTGTTTTAGTGGAGGGTCCACACACCTTTAATAAGGTAAGACCTTGTAGAGGGTTGATATCAGAGTTAGGTCGCTGTAACCTTTTCTGTGTACACCTGTCATTGACAGGTTGTCTTATAGTACAGCCTTTGTTCATCTGTTCAACATTTTATTGACACATTTGCACTTATATGTACAAATTGTAAAACCCCGGTTCAGCTACCAGTGAAACCTACTTAACATTGGTTGATATATTTCCACACTATATAATGTTTATATATAGTGTCTATCTTGTTACTCCTTGGGTCTATATTGATGTACCTTCCTGGTGTTTTCTCTTGGTCACGTTACCAGGAATGTACTGAGGACTAACAGTTACGCCTTTATACCTTTACTGTTGTGACTACTGATCGGTGTGACACTCTCACGCTATTGCCTAATGTTGCAGCACAGTGCAATTATAGTCTCAATATTTTATCATTTTATCATACATTAGGATGTAACAAAATACTGAACGTTTACATCAGAGGATCTATTGAAAATGTTTGAAATAAAAAAAATCTATGAACTCATTCACCCCTGTAATTTCATAATGAACTATTCCAACCATTGAATTGGAAGAGTTCAAATACCTATTCAGGGGTGAATGAGTTAAATTATTAAAAACATTCAAGGAGAAAACAAAATAATACACCATTCAGGTTTGATCAGGACAATTGTTTTATAGGTGAACACAATCTTGTTGATAGTATTATTTAAAAGTAAAAGACTATCATGCATTGTCACTGTTCACTGACTATGCTGGAAGTACATAAGTTTTATGATAAGGAGCAAATGATAACAAAACCAGCTTTTCCCGCTGTTTTGTTAGGTTATTGAAAAACTGACACAGACATTATTCTTCTTCATTACAAAGCGATATATTTGTTGCTATATCTTCCCCCTGATGTTAACAATATGCAATTTTCTTAATCACTCTAAGAAAGATATAAAATCTCCCTTTTTGTTTGTGATTCCTGTGAAAAGCAACATTTTCAGTAGGATCAGTTCTCACCTATTTACCCAAAAAACACCTTTTTTAGACAATTAAGATAGGATTATTTTTTCATGAAAACTGTGAAAATTGGTCTTTTCATTGTCTAATTTGATATTCCTTTTTTTTCGTCCACAGAAATTATACTGTGATATTGCCATCCTGCTAAATTCAATCTATTGGATCTTTGAAATGAAATTTACCGTCGAGACTCTTCTTTTTTCTATTAGTTACACTATCTTAAATATGTTTTCAACACTTTCAACCGGGTTTGAACTTTGTTATTCATTTGTAACTTCTATCTGTAAATGGTTTCTTACAAAAGCGATTCTAAAACTCGTTTTGTTTTAATTGATAAAAAATGCTTTGATGGTCCTTTTTCTTGTTTATGATAAGAATACATATGTGCAGTTGTTATAGATGTGTGGATGATGCTATAGATATTGTATTGAGTGAGGCGGGACATTGAAACAAACAATGAGAATCATTGTCAGATAACGTAGTCATTTTTTATGGATATGTACGAATATATATTATATATATATTGATATACATTGTATTATATTGATGAACATTGTGAAGTATAAAAATGATTTTTATTTAATTCTTTATTTTAAAAAAATGTGCTTTGACCAAGATTATGACATTTCCTTTTTATCAGGGTAGTTTTTTTTCATGTTGGCCGATAAACAGTTTGTGTCATCTTGAATTCTTGTGTCACATGGGTATCTCTCTTTTATACAGGTTAAAACCACACAACATCTAATGGAATAATAGAACCTATTATTATATAATACAGGCTAAAACCACACAACATCTAATGGAATAATAGAACCTATTATTATATAATACTGGCTAAAACTACACAACATCTAATGGAATAATAGAACCTATTAAGCTTTCACATGGAGTGATACTCCCCATAGCTTTTTTACATTTCAATTTTGCACAAAACAAACTTGAAAATATATGGCAATAGTTATTAAAAAAATGTTTTGTTTGTTCGACAACATTAAGATAACATTCTACCCATTCCATGTGAACATCTTTACCCACTCGCACATTATAAACTGTGTTATATATATAAAGGGAGATAACTCCTCTTTCATTATTGCAGGACATTTATTATTTTGTACTTACCATAGACAGAAAGGTCATACTTACTGATAATCTAGGCCTCTCATGATGATCCCAACATTTACTTACTTATAATCTAGCTCTCATGATGATCCCAACATATACTTACTTATAATCTAGCTCTCATGATGATCCCAACATTTACTTACTTATAATCTAGCTCTCATGATGATCCCAAAATTTACTTACTTATAATCTAGGCCTCTCATGATGATCCCAACATTTACTTCAAAATGGTTATTGATCATAACTTAAGTTTTGGAAGACAAAAACAAATATTTTGAAAAGTGTTTTTTTTTTGGTGTTAAATAGTATGTCTAAAAATAGCTGTAAATACATGATACATTTCAGAAAGATACGAAGGTTGCAATATGTATTTTCAAATTTTGATTAATGTTAAAATAAATGGTTTTTATTGGTAGGGTAAGAAATATCTCATGGTAGGGTAAGAAATATCTCATGGTAGAGTAAGAAATATCTCATGGTAAAGTAAGAAGTATCTCATGGTAGGGTAAGAAATATCTCATGGTAGGGTAAGAAATATCTCATGGTAGAGTAAGAAGTATCTCATGGTAAAGTAAGAAATATCTCATGGTAAAGTAAGAAATATCTCATGGTAGGGTAAGAAATATCTCAATATCTCATTAAGAGTAAGAAATATCTCGTGGTAGAGTAAGAAATATCTCAATTGGGTGTAAAGAATTCTGATTAGGCTGGGTTTGCTCACAGTTTTGTTGGTAGTAGGGAAACATCTTTTACTTTTAACTAAATACAGAACAAGATTTATTTCTGCTCTGATATGTAAGTGTTCAGTGTTACTATATCTGTTATAAACAGGACAGGACATCTGACCCTGTGTATATAACCCTGCATTAACAGATTGAGATCCTATGTGACAACAAGGTACACATACCTGTTTATATATTGGCTATGTGCCTAGCACAAAACCAACTCTCATTTGTAGATTTCCATGGAAACCAAAAACACAAAATGTCATGTTTACTCACAGGTAATATTTACATCCCTGTGTGAAAACTCCATGTTATATTAACACTTGCATTTAATTTCAAAGTTTTATTTTTTTAATTGGATTATTGCAAGTGTACATTAATTCATTAGCCATTATCCTGATCCGTTCGTTGCCGCATGTACTGGAGTAGTTGATAAGTAGTCTGAGGTCACTTGACCTATTTTGTTAGTGTGTAGGTCAACTCCTGCTGTGCAGGCTCTCAGTTGTTCAATCATGTTTAGCGCTAGTAGTTGAGGCACAGGTTTGTTTCCAAGCTTATCAAGATACTTCCTTCCTATACGAGGAATACATTCGATTATGATGTCTAGATTATAATATGAAACATCCCAATAGTTTTCAATGCCAAATTTGTTCAGAATTTCAAAGACTAAACTATTGTGCTGCTGGAAAGATTAACTCCATTATACCTAAGAGAAACTGTCCATCATACAGATGGGTGTTTACTTACTAAACGGTATGCGTCCCTAGATATACCTGGTTCCTAATTGCACTGTCGTGTTTTAGCATTGTACAAACATCAAGGTAAATATTAATGAAATGTGATGCCAAAAGAATGTAAGCTTTAAGGAGAACATTTCAATAATATGTCATTTTATCAAGTTAATAGGTTAACAGCCAATCATTTTCTGATGTACTGTTTAGTTGGGAAACTAAAGTGTGTTCATAAAAAGCACCAATCAGTTAGTACATATACTACAAAGCCTGTTTGGAATAGTGCACGCTTTAAAGCTAAAATGACACATGTATTAAGGCTGTGATATTTAAATTACAACAATATTAGCTTTTTTTGTAATTTTCCTTCAGATGACGTTAAATGTGTATCCCGAAATTTCAGTGCTGCAGAGTTGAATAGGAAGCTATATTTAAGAGTTTAACATGTACACTGAATGAAAATTGCATGAAGTAACTGTTATGTTTCAGATGTTAAACCTTTTATATATTATCCTATAATGTGGATGTTTCCTGGCTGTAACGGAAAGATACCCGAGAGAAATCAAACTTTTTTTCGCTCAACACAAAGCTTGTTAAAATGATTAATGGCTCACGTGACAACAACGATATGTTTTGATCAATATAAAACAATGCCTATTTTACATCTGTAGTATAGTGTTTTTCAACATTCTTAGTGGAGACTGATTACTGACGCCAAAAATTTACATGAAATCAAAAACATGTTGTCAGTTGATTTTGAATTCATTACAGTCATATATTATTCATTTAAGATAGATTATACATGGATTAATTCTTCAATTTAAGAAAAGAAAGGAAGATGTAAGATGAAACAATCAAAACATTGATTGATCCCAATAGTCTCTCGGCACATACCGGTATACTAATTGATGTAAGTAGTTAAACATTCAACTTATGTGTTTTAGTAAAACACATTTTCCAATTATAATTCATAATGTTATTAAATTATTTTAAGGAAAAGGGAGGTTTTTGAATTATATAGGAAAACCAAAACAATAAAATATAGCTTTAACATATTAAAAATGACGCTGTATTACTCTGTGCAAATGAAATGCTAGTATCAATTTCAACAGAAACATTTATTACTGGATAAATCCAAGTTAATGTAATTGTAGTAGGTATAATCGGATACTTGTAATTACCCAAACTAAGTGCATCCTTCTGAGTGGCAGGACCACTAATACGACAAAGGGTGCAAAATAAATACTACCAACAACTTGTAACATAAATGGGAGAGGCATATAAGGGAAACATGTTCATATACAATATAGAATTAATAACCTTACGTGCTATTCTGTGACATTTAGTAATAGTGACACGATCAAAATACCAAAATATTAACATAATTTTCTGCAATTCACGTGTAAGAATTCTTGTGACATGGATTCAATTTAAAACATTGATAGCTGGGAAATTAATTTCTCCTATTTAGTTTTACCACATCTTTTCATTCATCAATTAGTTCATAGATAAACCTCATTAATTTAAGATTAACTCTACCTCATTTCCCCTAACGCACAGTAGTCTTATTTGTATTGTACATGTCCAGATAATATTGCATAATAAAATCTGTATCAGTCATTATATAGTGAATGTTGATAAAATCATTTTGTATTAAAGCCGACAGATTCATGCTTCACATGTCAGCAGTATTTGATTCTAGTGGTCTGTTATCAATGTTGATGTGAAGCAAGAAAAGAAAATATTTGGCAGATACCAGGTATAAAACTAGCTGTTATATTCTAACATACTCGCAAGCTGAACTTCATGGTCTTAATCTATTATTTATTGCAATATTTCGTAATTTCATTGAGAATTTAGGAAAAACAACAACAATTTTTTCGCGAAAATAAACTTTGCCTTCTAGGTTGCAGTTATGGATTAGAAGCTGCCGCTTTCTAGTTTCCCCAACCTTTATTGGAGAATAAACCTGCCAAAACAGGTGTTTAAAGTCCTTTCTTCTTTCCAACCATTATTCATTAGTTAATGCTGCTTTCTATAGCGTTTGCTTTAATTATTTTGAAGTAAAAAGAGTGCTCGATATTTTCCGCAGGGAAGGCAATGAGCAAATCTGAGATTTGTTCATTTTGAGGGAAAGTATTTTAATGTATGTATATATTGTATTTGAAATCATCAGTGAAACTGATTAGCAATCATGCGAGCGGAACACTGTTTACTTTTCGTATAGAAACAATAAACAGATTTGACATCTAGTTACTAGATGAACTATATACACGTTAGATATTGTCCCTAGTCCCATTTTCTCTCAAAATCTTGAACTCCTGCATTGAATGCCTCCAATTATTTTCACCATTGTACTTTTATTAATGAGTTGTTATTTCATTAATAATATTTCCTAATTCACTGGAGAAAATTACCAATTTTACTATATAAAAGATCATATGTTAACTCAATTTAAATATTCATTTATATGTCATTTTGATGATAAAATGAAATTTAGTTTGGCATAAGTTTGAAAATGAAGAAAAGCTGAAGCCCAAAACTGCAGGGTTTTTTTGTAGAGAAATCGGGGCAAGGTGTACAAAAGCTTTGGTGTTTGTTTTTGTTGATATCTGTTACTGATTGTAAAGCTGTTATATAGATACCTGGCTCCGGAACACCTGTCCTGTATTGTGTTTCCTTAGGCTAGGAGTATCGGTATCTTTGTTGTTGTGTTGACAGTAAAATGATAAATACTGGACAGGCCATAGCTTCAGATTAAGTGCTGCATACATATGTCATTAGTTCATTGATGATATGATATTCATTCATTCCTTCATTATGTCATTGAACCATCAGATCGTACCATTGTTACAGACGAGGGTATGTCGCAGTGAATGTAATCATGGTGACATTGTTTCAATCTATATTGCATAACAATCTTTTATTATGAATGTTTTTTACTTAAATATTTAAAAAATAGATCACTTTTTTTTCTATTCAAACAAAATATGAGTATGTTAAATATATTTAATAAAACAAAAACTAAGAATGTATTAATTTGACAAATGTCAAAGTTTTTCAATAATATATATAATTGATATGCCAGAACAGTACGAGATGTTCTGCTGTAAAATTTCACTACATATTCGTTGTCATATTGTGTCACCAAGGTAACTTGATAATACTTTCCAATCGCTGCCTTGGTGACGTACGTGGCATATCACCATGGTTACATTCTCGTCCATTGTTGTTTATTTTCATGTTTCCCACTGGTGCTAGTAAACCCGGTGGCTATTACCTCAGCCGATCATGTTGTCTATTATGTCATTATTACGTGGATTAAAGAAGCTTTAATACAATAACTTAGTGTGCTTGTTTATTTTGTGTCACGTTATTCCTGAACGTCCATTTAATATTACAGTGATCACCGGTAGTTTCGGCGGGATTAGCGTGTAGGTTGTTTGAGCCGAACTCTGCTAGTTTAGGATCCTTCAAATAGATCATCCGTGATGTTTAATGTACCATGCCGCCAAACTTTGCTCTTTTTTTAGCTCACCTGGCACGGAGTGCAGTGACCCCCCCCCCCCCGACAGGTTACAGCACGATCACTTTAACTTCACTAGCGTTAGAGGCAATATCATTGTCTAGTGTAATAGTTTTACAGCATTGTCTGCTGTTAGTCTCGCAGTGTGAATACTTGTTTGCTCTTCAATAGACTTAATAGTGATCTAATTCAAATGATGTTCTAAGGGACTTTTAATTTGCGATCTTATCATCTTGCTCCAAACACATTTTTTACGAGGTATTTGATTAACGAAGTTAATGTAATATAGTATCAGCATAGTGTTATCCACTCAAGAGCCTTGTGCTAAAAGCAATTCATTTGATAAGTATGTTTTTTGTGAACTTTTTGGAAATGCAAAAGAACCAATCCTTCATGCAAACAAATTTTATTTCGTAATAAATCCATGTTAATTTATATCAATAACGATATTGATGAGATCAAATGAATCGTAAAGCGTTAGTACTATTGCATTGCGCCTAGGCACTTGTGTTCTTACTTTGACCAATGAAAACATCCAAGGTCGAAGGTGACCAAAGACACCATGTATCACACTGCTATATTTGACGATGTGTTTATCACCATAGAAACGCGTAGTATGGATTAATACCAGTATTTCACTGGTGCGAACATACCCTAGCCTCAACACACAAGGTTGGAGTTGCATCTCGTATAACCAAAGATATCACTTCTGATTATTGTTTATCTAATAAAAACAGTATTTTAAGTTTAACATTTCAACAAACATAACAGTTTACAACTAACATTTATTTCTGAATTACTGTCTTCAGCCAAGTATTTTGTAAATCACTTGAATTATTCTGTGGTGTATACTGCTATGAAGCATGTCTGTGCCAAGTCTGCCAGAGATTATAACTGTGTATTGGAAACTTCTATACTACGTCTAAAAAACAAGTGTTCTGAGAGTCAAAACGAAACAGGCTTGGACCTGGACCACCAATCACATTAAGATTGTGTAACCACCTGCGCTACCTGTACAACCATACATTAAGACTGTAACCACCTGAGCTACCTGTATAACCAATCATTAAGACTGTAACCACCTGAGCTACCTGTACAACCAATCACATTAAGACTGTAACCACCTGCGCTACCGGGACCTCCAATCACATTAAGATTGTCTAACCACCTGAGCTACCTGTACAACCAATCACATTAAGACTGTAACCACCTGCACTACCTGTATAACCAATCATTAAGACTGTAACCACCTGAGCTACCGGGACCTCCAATCACATTAAGATTGTCTAACCACCTGAGCTACCTGTACAACCAATCATTAAGACTGTAACCACCTGAGCTACCTGGACCTCCAATCACATTAAGATTGTGTAACCACCTGAGCTACCTGTACCACCAATCACATTAAGATTGTCTAAACCACCTGAGCTACCTGTACAACCAATCATTAAGATTGTCTAACCACCTGAGCTACCGGGACCTCCAATCACATTACGATTGTCTAACCACCTGAGCTACCTGTACCACCAATCACATTAAGATTGTCTAACCACCTGAGCTACCTGTACCACCAATCACATTAAGATTGTCTAACCACCTGAGCTACCTGTACCACCAATCACATTAAGGTTGTCTAACCACCTGAGCTACCGTGACCTCCAAACACATTAAGATTGTGTAACCACCTGAGCTACCTGTACAACCAATCGTTAAGATTGTCTAAACCACCTGAGCTACCTGTACCACCAATCACATTAAGATTGTCTAAGCTACCTGTACCACCAATCACATTAAGATTGTGTTTCTACCTAGACTTTTCTATTGTTTTACCTGCAATTGGGCAGAGATTGTTAAAGTGAAAAATGAGTGCAATAACGTCAATGCACAGGGGAAAACTACAACTACAGGGGTAAAAAAGGACCACTACAGGGGTAAAAAAGGACCACTAAAGGAATTGTGATCGAACAAAACCAGGTACAGGGTTAAAAAGGATTTCTATAAGGAAATGTGAAAGGACAACCTCAACACGTATAAATGAAAAGGCAAATCCTGAAATAGTGGGTAAACTGCAATAGGAATCGAAGTACAACTACACGGGATGACAGACATGCAATGACAACTACGACATGTCAGTAGTGACAACAATGACAGGCTTGAAATGACAACTATGACAGGCATGTAATGACAACTACGACAGTCATGTAATGACAACTATGACAGGCATGTAATGACAACTATGACAGGCATGTAATGACAACACGAGAGGCATGTTATGACAACTACAACATGTCAACAGCGACAACTACGACATACCAGTTGTGAAAAATACGACACACCAGTAGTGACCACTATGGCATGCATGTAATGACCACTATGGCAGGCATGTTATGGCAACTATGACAGGCACTAATGACCACTATGACACGCATGTAATGACCACTATGACAGGCATGTTATGACCACTATGACAGGCACTAATGACCAGTATGACAGGCATGTAATGACCACTATGACAGGCACTAATGACCAGTGTGACAGGCATGTAATGACAACTATGACAGGCACTAATGACCACTATGACAGCCACTAATGACCAGTATGACAGGCATGTAATTACCACTATTACAGGCACTAATGACCAGTATGACAGGCACTAATGACCACTATGACATGCATGTTATGGCAACTATGACAGGCACTAAGGACCACTATGACAGGCACTAATGACCACTATGACACGCATGCAATGACCACTATGACAGGCATGTTATGACCCCTATGACAGGCACTAATGACCAGTATGACAGGCACTAATGACCACTATGACAAGCACTAATGACCACTATGACAGGCACTAATGACCAGTATGACATGTTATGGCAACTATGACAGGCATGTAATGACCACTGGCACTGTGACAGACACTAATGACCACTATGACAGGCAGAACTATGACCACTATGACAGGCACTAATGACCACTATGAAGGCATGTAATGACAACTATAACAGGCATGTAATGACCACTATGACAGGCACTAATGACCGGTATGACAGGCACTAATGACCAGTATGACAGGCACTAATGATCAGTATGACAGGCACTAATAACCACTATGACAGGCACTAATGCCCACTATGACAGGCACTAATGACCAGTATGACAGGCACTAATGACCACTATGACAGGCATGTAATGACCACTATGACAGGCATGTAATGGCAACTATGACAGGCATGTAATGACAACTATGACATGCACAAATGACCACTATGACAGGCACAGCTATGACAGTCACTAATGACCACTAGGACAGGCACTAATGATCACTATGACAGGCATGTAATGACACCTATGGCAGGCATGTAATGACAACTATGACAGGCACTAATGACCACTATGACAGGCATGTTATGGCAACTATGACAGGCACTAATGACCACTATGACAGGCACTAATAACCACTATGACAGGCACTAAAGACCACTATGACAGGCACTT